GGAAGGGACCCCGGAGGTCTTCTAGTCCAGCCCCCTTGCTCAAGCAGGAGACCCTGACAGAATTAATTGCCTTGTCAGAAGGGAGCCAAAGGGGGAATCGCGGGACCCCCAAAAGTTTGAAGTGCCCCGTCTTTGAATGCAGAAAGGAACTCCGTTCATGGAACACAAGACTGGAAGGGACCCTGGAGGTCCTCTAGTCCAGCCCCTGCTCGAGCAAGGGACCCTACGCCACGTCAGACGAAAAGGCCTGTCCCAATCTCTTCTTAGAACCTCCCAGGGGTGAAGCACCAAGAACATCTGGTGGCGAGCGGTTCCACGGATTAATTGTTCTCCCTATCAGGAAATTCCTCCTTAGTTCTAGGTTGCTTTTCTCCTTAGTTGGTTTCCATCCGTTGTTTCTTGTCCTGCCTTCAGGGGCTTTGGAGAATAGCTTGACTCCCTTCTTCTTTGGGGCGGCCCCTGAGATCTTGGAAGACTGCTAATCTTTTGGGGCTCCTGTGCCAAAAATGGTGTGCGCATTCGTGTGCTAGCATCCAGAAGGCAATGCATGTGTGTGTGGGGGGGGGGGGCTACACATGTGCACGCAATCCCCACCCCACCCCACCCTTACCTGCACTGCGCATGCGCCCTGATTTTCCCGGCTGATTTTCGGCCCGTTTGAGGCCTTTTTCAGCCTCCCAGAGGCTCGCGGGGGAAGCCTCTGCAGCCTTCGGAGGCCGAAAAATGGGCCCGTTTGGCCCGTTCTGTTTTATAAAACCTTAGTAGGACCGCGCCTAGAATGCTACTCCGAATACGACACCACATCAAAATATCGGAAGTGGACAAAATGGGACCGGTTTTTCGGCCTCCTGAGGCCGCAGAGGCTTTCCCTTGAGCCTCTGGGAGGGCAAAAAAAAAGGCCTCAGACGGGCCGAAAATCAGCTGGGAGGCGCACATATAGCGCAATGCAGGTAACTCTGGCTGGGGCTCGCGTGCCCGCACAAATGGCTCTGCGTGCTGCTTGTGGCACGCATGCCATAGGTTCGCCATCACGGGACTAGACCTACCCAATTCCTGCAACCGCCCGTTGTATGTTACAATGGAACAGAAGTTGCCCTCGGAAGTTGTGGGAGCGCCATCACTTGAGACCTTCAAGAAGAGACTGGACTGCCATCGGTCAGAAATGGCGTAGGGTCTCTTGCTTGGGGGGGGGGGGGTTGGACTGGATGACCTTCCAACTCTGTTGATCTATTATGTGTTATATCATCAGTCTATCATCTACATATCTCTCTGTGCCTGATCT